ATTCACTTTGAACATTAATTTTAGAATAAGTATTACAAATTTTGTACTTGAGAAAAATTTAGTCATTTACAAAATAATAAACTTTGGCAACTTTTTGTTAAAACAACTATAATTAAAAAGTAAAATAAAGTTTTATTTTAATAAAAAAAAAAAAAGAAATTTAAATATGATTTAGATCACACTATCAAAAACTGAGTTATTATCTGTCTCCAATCCATAAGAAAACTTGTTTCTCTTGATTCTAGACCGTTCCTTCAATGATTTATTGAATGAATAGATTGGCCCAAAAACAGATCAAAAAAAAAAATAGAAGTAAAGTCAAAAAAACCTGGAGCTACAAACCTTTTTTTTTTTTACAGCGCTGATTGGTTAATTTAACCATTGATTGAGCTTCGCATAAAACGCCTTCATTTTATTCCATGGTTTTCACCAAGATTAACGCCAACAGTTATTTATAATTCCTTATAGCAAATAAAGAAGTTATTGGTGCAATAGATGGATCGCATATACCTACTAAGAATGGCGCACGTTATGTATCAAAAAAGTTTTCGTTCCATTAATCTTTGATTTTTAATCATCAGGAGCGTTTTTTTATATAAGTGTTGGAAAAGCAGGTTATTAACAAACTTTTATTTTAAAAATAGTAAAAAACATTTCACATAATTTTTTCTTATTATAGTAAGTGTATACTCATCTTTTTATCGTGAAATTTTTTGCATCCTGAACAATGGGTTTCAAGTAGAACTTATATTATTGCTGATGAGCATATCTTCCTGAAAATAAATATTTGATAAAAGCATTTCCTGAATATTAGTTAAATTTGTGAAAGAGAGTAGAGCTAAGTCTTTTTTTAGTCATGATAAAATCGATAGAAAGATAAACAGAGATTGCTCATGGACTGATCGCCATCTTTTTTCAATTGATTGTAAAGCTTGTGTAACATCTCAATTACATCGAGGAGATACATGAGAACGGCTTTATTGTCTGGAGTTCGTTCAAAATAAATTCATAAGGTCGAGAGAATCCTAGACTAACGCACACTTGGTGAAGGATTATCACAATTAAATTAAATTTCTTTCACGTCTGCTCAATCACTTAATATTTTTTTGTCAACATAAGTAGAATACTTCTTTATGTCTCACTTAATACGGACAACTACATGCTAAAAAAAAACAATAAGAAATTTTTTCATAACTTAATTTTGTAGATTGATTCAAAAATAACATATGATTATGAATGTTTTAATTTAATGAAATAGAAAATCGGTAGAAAATTGGAAATCTAACTTAACAGAATTTTATTTAAATCATCCTCGATATTGTCAAACACTACCCATCATGTTGAGAGGTTTGCTAACTTCCCTAGGATCACCGTCAAAAATCCTCGGACACGTGATTATAATCAAATATTTGTCACGTCTTATCACACCCCTCAAGTTTCCGTTTTTACTATTTATTCAGAGGACTTTTTTTGTGTGGCAAAATCTTATTTGTCACATATTTATTTGTTACGGTTAGAATTAGTTAGGGTTAGGGTCAGGGTTAGTTAGGGTTAGATTTTAGCATATTATTGTTCAAATGTATAGTTGCTGCCCATATAAAATCCCATACTATATTTAAAATCCCATATCCATATTCCATACTTTTAATAACATATTTTTAAGTGTATCTTAATAAATATCTCACTTACATAAATCATTAATTATGATGATATTGTTTGTTAAAGTATTGGTTTAAGGAATGGGATTTGGGATGGGATGGGATTGGGACTTATCCATACTCATATAGTATGGGTAACAAGTACAGTATAGTCAAATGTCACATGTCCGAGGATTTTTGATGTTTGCTATTAAAATCACGTTACGATTCATGATTTATGTTCGTAACTCGATTTAATAGCAAACCTTCCCTTCCATTTGACCACGTAGTTAATATTTAATCGTAAAAATACATTTTGAATACTTGATCTTCCTCATTCTTATTAGAATGGAAAGTTGGTTTTAGGATGAAAATAGGTTGAAAGATAACATTTATTTAAAATTTTATTAAATTCTTTATTAATAATTAGGATCCTCTTCCAGCTTGATTGCTTCGTAAGGAAATGTAAATTTTTCCCCCCTTAATGGGTTCAATCGCATCGTACAGCGATCAAATAATTTTTTACTGATTTTTATGGTTTTATTTTACTTTAACAGATTCCTCCACGAATGGGTTGGAAGGTACATATTGAGATTTTCATCTATAATTTCTGCTACTATTTTTCTCAAAAAAAAAAATATATATATATTATAAAGCAATGCGATGGATAGATTTAATAATGTCTCAGGCCTCCAAGTTTCTTTTATAGCCGCACTTATTTCGCCACTTCTACGAAAAGCTCAATTTTTATTCACAACAGACTGACAACTAACGTTACTCGGCCTATATCATCTTCACGAATGTCATTCTTAGAATCTTATCTCTGAACCGAAATTCAAAGATAATTTCGTTCCAATTGGAATTGGATCACAAATATCACTATCGGAACCATTAGAAAATATATGGTATATGGTTATTTAAAACTCCAATAACAATAAAGTTTTTGATTCCTCCAACAATTGAAAACTTTGCATCGAGCATCGAATATAGAACAAGAATATCTTTTATGAATTGATATAGACTAGCGTTGACAATGGAAAGTGTAGCAAAATAGAATGAGTACCAAAGCAAATTAAGTTTTTTAAAGTTCCTTTTGATTATAATTATAAATAAATTTTCTTCATATAAATTAGTAAAAAATTTAAATATATTATATTTAAAAAATTGAATGATTTCATGGGTATTAAAAATAAATAAATATTCAAAGTAATAATAGATGGTGATTATCGCTTTTTATTAAAAAAAAAAGTCCAAATCAGTAAAGTAATTCTTTGTACCTTTAGATTTATTTAAATCATCATAGAATCACCCGTTTTATTTTCTTTAGCTATGTCAGTTAATTTACAGCCTTCTTCATTTTGATAATATTTAATATGCCCGTCTTCATAAGTCCTTTCAAACTATTATAAGAAAATATTGAAATACAAATGTATATACATGCAGGATTACAAAAAATAACGAGTATTTCTTATTGATTTATGTCAGGAATAAGAACAATTTAAAAATTATTATTCGTTGTGAGCTTTCTTTATATTTAATCGACTTATCATTGATGTGGAGAATATTTCGAACAATAAAAAATTTCTCGAGAAACAAAGATAAAAACTTTTAATATAAAGAACTCTCAACTACTAGATATTTTAAAGTATAGAGATTAATGGATACATTATAGTCTCTGTATTGAGACAAGAATTTGATTTTTCTCAAGGAGACGAATTCCCAATTTCTTTATCAGTCATGAAGAAAATAACGAGCTAAACTAAGAAATAAAATAATGGAACCGATGTAACTCGAAAAGACAAATATTTAACAAAACACATTAGTTTGAATCAAACATTGTAATACCGTTTGAAGAGAAAACCTTGAAGGAGGTAGGCCAGTTGATTGAAGAGGATCTTGTAGGTTGAACTAACGAAGAGTTGCCGATAAGGTCTATGAAAGCGGAAAACTGTGTTGTAGCGTTCAGGCTTTCCAATATTTTCTGATTAATGATTCTATCGGTATATTTTTGAAGGTATTTATGGATTGATTTAATTGCAATAATAGCCTATTAATAAGATTTTCAATTTGATCAAGAGAAAAGATGCCTTCATTATGTTTTTTATTTAAATAATCGATTAGCTTATCAATATTATTAATTGTATTATTATATATTGATTATAACTAAACCCGATATCGTGTGAGAAAAAGAAATATATAATTAAGCATTGTATTGCTCAGGATTCATTTCCAAAATGATACTGCATAATTTATGAAAATTGTTTTGCGGTGGGAAGTTTCTGGATTTAAAGGTTAGTAAATAAAGTATTGATGCAAATCATCCAAAATAAAAGCAAAAAAAAAGAAAGTACCTTAAGAAAAAAAAATATAATTTTTGTTCGTTGCGTTACCAACTAAAAAAAAGCATACTGCGTACTTCCGAAACGATCCAAGCCTAAAAAGAATAACGTTAATAATGAATAATTGCAAAGAAAAAATGAAATAAAATTTGCTTTATCACTGCGGCCCAAAATCAAAAATAAAACCCAACCCAAAAAGTAGTAAAAAAAAAATTAAATTCTGATAAGAAAATACATTATGCCGACCAAATTGATTCTCTTATCCGCTTATAGGTTTTTTCAAAAATTGAAATAAATTTTTATGGTAAAATTTTTAAAATCTTACATACAGTACATGTAAAATATAAATAGCGTAAAAGCATTTGTTCGGTCTTATTTTAATGTATTAGATTTGTGAAAATCTAACTTTTGGTGAACAATAATTTTCTTATCAAATATATATATATTTTTTAGGAAATATATTTTTTTTTTGCTTTCATAGTGTGACGTTACGCCATTATAAAGTCGATTAGAATCGATTAATCATAATCGAACATCGAATCTTGGAATCGAAAATCTAGAAACGATTAATCGATTTTAAACGCAATAAAGATGGTAGCCTAATTTGCCATATGAATCGATTCCAATCCAAACCTCCAAAAGAAATTCAGATATTATCTCTATTATATTCTTAATATATGTAATTCAAGTTGTTTTGCAATAAAGTATTTTCAGTGATTTGATTGCAACATTAAAAATATTTTATATTCCATCGCGACATCTACATTTCAGTATACAGATTGAGATTATTGAATTATTAAAATTTTTTTTTACAACTATAAAAATTTTGGTCTAATGAATACAATATTAATTCTAATTGCAAACTCATTCATTATTTAATATCCGTCCAAGTCACGCAAAAGCAGATTTGCCATAAATACATAATTCATTTCTCACGGACTACTTCACATTACTCATTATTACTGTAGAATTCACGCACATTGATATCTAACACATATTGTTTTAGATTATTGATCCATGGTGAATGACTAGAACTGACAAGGTTATTGGAACCCCTATAGCTTTGCCAAGGATAAACGTCGAACGGGAAGTGATGTCAAGGAAAGAGCGTTGGGATCATGGCAATTGTTCAGAAATGAACACGTGGACTCATCTAAGTCAAGTAAGAC